GTCAATATTACTAGCACCTCATCTTAAGGAAAAGTATTAGATGATGTGCCAATAGTACAATAGTATGCTAACGTGTTTCCCGATGATCTGTCAGGTACTACTCGTGTATCTAAAGTCTCATACCGAATGGCACCAAAAGAATGACAAGAGTTGAAGACAGAGTTGGAAAAACTTCTAGACAAAGGGTTCATTAGACCAAATGTATCTCCATGGGGAGTTTCGGTACTCTTTGTAAAGAAGAAAGATGGTACTATGAGGATGTGCATCGACTACCGTGAACTAAATAAGTTAACGATCAAGAATAAGTATCCCCTTCCTAGGATTGAGGATCTATTTGATCAACTGAAGGGCACATCTGTGTTTTCGAAAATTGATTTAAGGTTGGGTTACCATCAACTGAAGATTAAGTTGGATGATATACCAATAACGACATTTAGGACTCGATATGGGCATTATGAATTTACCGTGAAGCCTTTTGGCTTGACGAATGCCCCTACAGTGTTTATGGACTTGATGAATAAGGTATTTCATCAGTATTTGGACGTGTTTTTCATTGTATTTATTGATGACATACTGGTATACTCGAGAGATTCTCATCAACACGAAGAACATCTGAGGATAGTATTGGGAACTAAGTGCTATGCGGGACAAAATGTTACGCCATAGGACGGGAGCCACCTCTTGAACCCGTAGGAGCCACCTCTAGAATCCCAACACCTGGCAATGGATCCTTAGATGGATCAAGCACGACGAGGACGTCNGTTGCCAGCCAGAAATCGGGAACTAAGTGCGATGCGGGACAAAGTGCTACGCCATACGACGGGAGCCACCGCTTGCGCCCGTAGGAGCCACCTCTAGAATCCCAACACCTGGCAATGGATCCTTAGATGGATCAAGCACGACGAGGACGTCGCGAGTCTAACGGGGGTGATTGTAATACCCAAATTAGGAAAGTTTAAAATATTTGATAGGTACTACTCATATCAACAAGGTGCACCATCTTTTCCGAAAATCCATCGTTAGAAACTCTACAGTTAAGCGTGCTTGGCTTTGAGAAATTCAATTATGGGTGACCCCCTGGAAAGTCTTTTCGGGAAGCGTGCGAGTGAGGACAAAGCATGCTGAAAAGACCCATGTCGGTACAGTGGGGATAGTTCGTTGTCGATCTAACGGCCGGGACAGCCCGTTAAGTGGGACCCGGGTCGTTACACATACCATGCCCTATGGACTTATTTCAGTCCATAAAGAGCTTTTTCAAACCTGCAAATGAAGGTTAGATTAGCTTTGTCAATGAAGCCCTTTGGCTACTTCATAAAAACTACTTCATTCAGCCTTCCATTAAGAAAGGCATTATTGATATCAACTTGTCTAACAGTCCAGCCTTTAGACACAGCAAGTGACAGGATTATTCTTAGTGTGGAAGGCTTGATTACTAGATTGAAGGTTTCGTGATAATCAATGCCTAAAGTTTGTAGAAAACCCTTTGCAACAAGCCTTGCCTTATACGTTAAAATTTTTCCTTCAATATCTCTTTTAAGTCTGAAAACCCGCTTGTTTCCTATGACCTTTTGATTGATCGGATGGCACCAATGTCCAGGTCTTATTCCTTGCCAAAGCTTTAAACTCCTCTTCCATAGCTGATTTCCAGTTCTTATCAGATAGTGCTTCAGAAGTATCATTGGGTTCTGCCTCGCTTAGTTCAGTTTTAAATTCTTTGCAAAGAGTGGAGTACACTTTAGGTTTCAAGGTGGCTGCTTTACTTCTGGTAACCATAGAGTGTTCAACATTATTCCTTCTTCCTTCTATCTCTTCCTGATTTGTCTAAATATTTGGTCCAGTTTCTTCTGCCTCAGTGCCTCCAGTATTTTCATAGGTTTCCCTTTCAATATGTTCATGTCTAATCTCTGCACTTCCATTATCATTGATGTCTGGTATCTCAGTTCCAATTTCCTCTGGTTGCATAGAAATTGGAGATACTGGGGTTGAGTTGAACTAAAGTGAAGTGTATCAAATGAGTTTATAGGACCAGTATTAGAGGGAATGTTGAGTGGCATATATTGAATAATGGTTTCAGAAGAGTGGCTACCTCTATTTAGAAAACCATGCTCAAAAGGGAACTCCATTTCATTGAAGAGTACATGCTTAGATAAATAATTTTTTTCAGTAGAGCTAAGGCATTCATAATCTTTATGAGAATTGCTGAAACCAAGGAATACACATTTAGTACAATGGAAACTAAACTTGTGAGGCTGGTAAGGTCTTAGACAAGGGAAGCAAACACGTCCAAAAACCTTGAGTGACTTATAATTGGTTTGTTCACTGTTTAGAACTTGACAAGGTGGCTTCATTTGAAGAACAGGTGTAGGTAGTTCGTTAATGAGACAGGTGGCGGTATGGAATGACTCCCACTAGTAGTGCAATGGCATGTTGGCTTGAACGATGAGGGTTAGACCGGTTTCAATGATATGGAGATGTTTCCTTTCAGCTTTTTCATTATGAGATGAAGTGTAAGGACGGGAAAACCTCATGTGAATACCTGATTGTAGAGTGAATTCAATAAATGCTCAGAATTGTCCTCCCCAATCAGATTGAAGAGTTTTGATTTTCCTATCGAACTTATTTTCAACTAGGTTTTTGAATTGGATAAAGGAATTCAGGGCTTCAGATTTGTTCCTCATAGGATATATCCATGTGAACCTGCTGTAATCATCAATTAATGTAATGTAATACTTGAAACCAGATGTAGATTGAAGGAGTGCAGGGCCCCAGAAATCAGTGTGAATAAGTTCAAAAGGTGATGATGAGTGTAAGCTTAAAAGTTTAAAGGGTAGAGAGAGTGCTTTGCCAAGTTGACAGGCATCACAAAAATGATTAATTTCATTCACTTCAAGTTTTTCATTACAGAGTTGAAGGACTTGGGACATTACAGATTTTGAGGGATGTCCAAGTCTCATGTGCCACAATTCTAAATTAGACTTATACTTTGTGGCATCTTTGGACTGAGGAACAAAAACAGAAGGTCTAGATTTAAATAAGTGAACGGACTTTGAGACAGGAAGCTGGACAGGTAGCTCAATTTGATATAGTCCATCTTTAATTCTCCCTTCCAGCAGTACTTTCTTAGTCTCCTTGTCCTTAACACAAAAGTCAAAATGAAATTCCATGAGTACTCTATTATCAGAAGTTAACTGTGAGACACTTAGTTGACTTTTCTTGATTGAGGGAACTAGCAAAACATTGTTAAGTACTAGTGACTTGTTATTTCATGTATTGAGGTGATTTGTGCCAATATGAGAGATATGAAGTCTATTGCCATTGCCAGCAGCAAGTTTTTGCTTACCACCAGACTTAAGTGCCTCAATCAGATTTTCATTATCAGCTGTGACATGATTGCTAGCACTTGAGTCTGCAAACCAAGTTGGATCAGTTACAGTTCTGGAGGAAGCTATAAGAGCGGTTGGTTCTGAATAGTTCTGATAGTGAGTTTCAGGTTTGGCACCCATATATCTTTCATCAAACCGGTTGACTCACTTAGCTGCTGTGTGATTGTTCAAACCATAGATCAGGCATGCTTTTTTGTTAGCAAATGGCCTACCTCCTCTACCCAGACTTCTTCCTCCTCTATAGCTACTATTTATACCAGCATAGTTTGGCATTCTTCCTCTGTTAACATTTGAGCTATAGATGAAATTGGATGAGGCTTCACTTAAGTTGACTAAGGCTAAACCAATTTTTAGAGTGTTGAGGTGCTCAATTCTGTTTTCATAAGTCATGAGCAATGACTGAAATTCATGTCAAGATATGGATTCCCAGCTATTTATTTGCACCACTATAGGAGTATATTCTTCATCCAAACCGGCAAGCACTTGAGTAACAAGATCAGCATGAGGAATGACTTTACCAGCAATTTCAAGATTGTCTGCAAGTTGTTTAATAGTGTTGAGGTACTGATCAACACTCATTTCTCCCTTCCTAGTTCTCTGAAGTTCACTAACAAGGAATGTGATCCTTGATCGATTCATGACTCCAAAACTTTCTTGGATAGCATTCCAGAGTTCTGAAGATTTAGATGATCCCATGACTCGCATTGCAATTTCTGGTGTCATTGATGAGTACAACCAACCTATCAATAGTTGATCTGTTGACATCCAAGTTTCATACTCAGGATTAAAAGCCATTTCGACTGTAACCCCAGTTGAGCCAGTGGTCTGTGTAGCTAGGAACTCAATTAGGCAGCTTCTGGTTCCAGTGAGGAAACCTTCTAGGTTGTAACCTTTGATTACTGGTAACTGGTAGCCATAGTTATTATTGGATCCGATGTTAGCCATAGTTAGCTCTGATACCAAGTTGAAATTCAAAGAAAAAGAAGTTGACTGGTAATTGAAAAAGGTGGATTAAAATTGAAGGCTTCAATTGAATTTTTAATTTACAAAATTACAACTAGTAATATATATACAAAATAGCTGGAATAGGGAGCAAGTAAAACACGATAATTACATGTAAAGAATCAATTATAGTTACAACAAGAATTGTGGTCTCAAACTGTGTAATTATAACTGCACATGTGCTTGATTCGATGAGTAAGTAATAATCAGTAAGTGTTTGTTAAATACGGTAACTTCAGCCATAACCGATAAGTGTTGGTAAATACGGTAACTTCAGTTGAATCCGACGACTTCCAATATGGTATTTTATCAGAGAGAGAGAGAGAGAGAGAAATTAATTGGAGAATTAAGAGCAGTTGTCATTCTAGAAATTTATGGTCTAGACATTTGACACGGCACCTTGTTCTTACTCTAGAAATTTGTGGTCTGAAATAAGTTTATGACTGACTTTAAGCTTCTAGTAGTAGTTTTATCTTGACGTGGCTCATTGACCCCATGCATTTTTTATTTTCAATACTGATACTGCTAGGACTTGTGTTGAGCACTGTGAGAAGACTGGGTTCAATAAAATTTGAGCGTGACATTGAGCCGGCCAAGAAGATTTTTCCATAAAATTTAAATGGAATAACTCCATAAAAACACGTCAGCATTTACTTCCACGTCATCAGTATCCATGCAGTAAGGTGGAGGGAGCATCAACCCTTCAGCCATATTGTCAATCAACCCTGGCATTCCAAAAAGAGCTTCCTCATCCGTAAAGAAAGCATTTATCGGCCATATAGCGGCTGCTTCCTCCATTTTATCATCTCGAGACAACGCCTCCGACGACTCGGAATTCGGTTGCCCAAAGGCCCTGGCAGCTTCTGCTGCTGCTTTCTGAATGTCCTTAGCATCAGTGGAGGCCGGAACTGGTAACTTCCAAGCTGAGTCAGCAAAGTTCAAACAGGCCGACCTCCCACGAAGCGCTATTGCCGCCACATCGTGAGCTCTCGCTGCCATTTCCGCGGTGGCGAAAGTTCCTAGCCAAATTCTTGACTTCTTGTTCGGTTCTCTCACTTCACACACCCACTTACCGGAGTTCCTCTGCCTCACTCCCCGGTAAACCGGGTGTCTCGTCTCCTTAAATTTCTTCCTCCCTGCTCGCTTCTTCGGGTTGTTTGAAGCTAACAAAACTTCCTCGTCAGAAACATTGGCTCTGCTATTGCTATTTCCACTATCAGATTCCAGTACCTCAGTTGATGACCATGAATCTTGCACACATGGAATTGAGTACGAATAAATGTCTGCAAAAACATCCATTCTTGTTCTGAATTTATTTAAGTACTCAAAATGGATTGGAGTTAAGTAGAAAGTTATATGTGTCAGTGTGTGTGTATATATATATATATATGTTTGTGGATGTTGGGGAGACAATTCCATTACGCGCTCAGTCAGCGATATTTTCACACGGAAAGAACCACCTGGAGATATTTGTATTGATAGTCCAATCAAATCAAAAAGTTTCTTTTGTGGCCCTAAATAATTATTTGACTAAGGTCCACTTGGATACATAGTTATCAGTTAACCTATTAAATGGAATTTATGTGTCACTTTTAATATTTCAATGACCATGTGAAAATAAATTGAAGTTTAATAATATTCTAGTAACGTAAGCTAAAATTTAGTGACCAGTGAAATAAAATCCCTCTATTTACTTTTATAATATGTTGAATTGTACATTACAAACATAGAAAATATCTTGATTGTGTTTAAAAGTAAATATTAAGTTATTTTGTTACTCTATATTAAACAAAAAAAAAAAAAATGACTCGACTTATTTTAAGCACAATTTAACATGCGGAAATAAATGTTAAACTTTATTCACGGGTTTATATAATGTTATAACTTTTCAACTATCTAAGATTGTACCTATAATAATATTATTTAGCACTACTGGTGCTACAGCATTAATTTAGGAAGTTGAGAACTGCAGTCCAATTTTTTCTTTTCACCCAATTAATGATTGACATGTCATCAATTTGGTGGGTCAGCAATGAACTTTTATTCATGTTTGATGTGAACGTGCTAGAAGATAATATAGTATTGAAAACTGCTTTGATGATAATAATGCATTAAATTTATTATCAAATAAAATAAAATAATCTCATGTATGTTTAAGCATAGGTAATATCTATTATTAAATAAAATAATCATAATTTGTGTTGCCCTATAGTTGACTTCATGTTTTTTATTAAAACAAACAAAGTGTTTTTTATCTCTAATTATTGAATTCGAGTTTTCATAGCTATTATTGCAAAGTTGATCAATTAGAGACAAAAAAAGATCGCTACCAAAAGACTCACAATTGACAATCAATAAAAATTGAGATGCAAGCCGAGCACTCACGTCAAGACAAGAACTTCAATAGTAAAATATCGAAGATATTAGACTTAGATGTTTTTGATTCATACGCAAATGTAGAATGGTTTAATCCTCAGCAATGAATCGTTAAAAACTCAAAGAATGAATTTTTACGTATAAGAAAAATTATTTCATAAAAATGTTTGCATAAAGATTATTTTTCAAAATGTAAGAATTTAAACTTCAATATTCAAACTTTCTACAATGTCACTTATCTTGAGAAATTAAATGAAAATGTTCTTCAAAAGCTTACATTTTTCAGAACAATGAAGAAAGAATAATCCTGAAAATTTCTGCCCAATAGTAGTCTGGTTCGCCCAATGGTCAATTTTTTAACCATTCTGAATTCTAACGCACAACGATTAGTTTGGTTGTTCGGTTCAGTATGCGGACGTCCAAATGGGTCATCCGATTAGTAAAAAAATTTGGCATTTTGACTCCTATAAATGCAATTCCACTTTACATTCAATAAAACACTTTTTGGGACCATTAAAGTAAGATATTCTTGAGCTAAATTATATTGATTACACATTTTATTTATTTTTATCAAATCATTTTTCCTCTGAATTTTTTTTTTTTTTTTTTATTGAATCAACTTTTGAAAATCATTCTTCTCATCAAAGTTTTTCTCACCTAACATTTGAGTTTCATTCGTTACTATTCATTGAAGTGTTAACATATTTCTCTCTTTATACTTAATTAGATCATATCATTTATTAAAAGAGAAATTTCAAATTGTAAAATCAACTTCCTTTAAATTTGTGGGTCATATTGAGGTCTTTTGAAACTCAATATTGTATAGGATTGGTGTTTTTTATTTGTGAGTCACCAGAAGCATTATAAAAATTTGGATTGCACCATAATCCAATCAAATATAGTGAAAATGTCTTACTCGTGACGGAGAGATTGATAACAGAGAACATAGATCATTGTTTGGATCGAACATCCACAATTACATCGTTTGTACATTTCTTCCCTTTTACTTATTCATTTTCTTAAACTTGAATTAATTTTTTGAAAAACTTTTAATAACCAATTCACCTCTCTCTTAGTTAATTATTTTTTGACTACCAATTTGTTTTTTAGAGTTCTAAACGAAATTACTTGTCAAAATAAAAACATGTTAAAAATAAAACATAGATAATAAAGTACATTAATATAAATTTAAGCGCAAAAATTTGAATTATAAATTACACTATAGGGTTAGAATTTTAAAATATAAGGTTGGTATTTAAAATTAACCATAATGTGAAGGTCAATGTTGAAATTTAAAAAAAAATCATTAAAGTATAAAAATGCTTCTCTCATTTTTGTTGAAAGGCTTCTTAGAACATTAGAATAATTTCTATTAAAAGCTCTTTTGATATAAGAAGAATAGACTCCTTAAATAGAGTAATTTTATGTATAAACAACGATTATCTTAGTGACAACTTTTTATACAAATGTACTCAATAATTGCTTCTTAATCTCAAAAATCACTTTTGACTTTTCGAATGACAGGCTAAATAGGTTGCTGATTACTATCATCAAGCTTATAAATTGATTTTGTAATAATTTTCAGATGACATTTTATTATAAATGCTAAATAAAGTAATAATAATCAATTTGTGTGTAATTATATAATCATCAATTTGCTATATATAATTAACGACGATTAGTATTAGCCTAAGAGATAGTTTACGGAGGACGAAAACGTGAAACCTATTGTTAGAGAGTCAAACAAGTGATAGTTTATTGTTATTTGATGTGTTAGTGGGTTAGTCCATATTTGGCATTATCTCTAAATTTAGTTATTCACGTGCCTTCGTGGGTTTGCTGATAGTGATTGGGCAAGTTCATTAGATGATCGAAAAAGCACACCAACTAATTTTTTTAGCCTTGGGTCAGGAGCAATCACTTGGAGTTCAAAGAAGCAAGCCACGACAGCTTTATCTTCTTCAGAAGCAAAGTATGTTGCAGCGACTTCAGTTGCTTGTCAAGCAATTTGGCTTAGAAGAATTCTTACAGATCTTCACCATGAACAAAAAAGGGCAACTGATATTTTCTGTGATAACAAGGCAACAATTGCAATGACAAAAAATCCAGCTTTCCATGGGAGGATAAAACATATTGACACCCGTTTTCATTTCATCCGAGACCCGGTTGCAAATGGTGAAGTTATGTTGAAGCAATGTAGTACACATGAACAGGTAGCAAATGTTCTGACAAAATCACTACCAAAAGATAAGTTCGTCTACTTCAAATCACGTCTTGGAGTGTGTGACTTTGAATCAAGGGGGAATGTTGAAAAATGATTCAAAGATGGTGCCCCACGTATTGAGTCAATAAGTCCTACATCCAATTTTTTCCATTTTCTTTCTCATTTTTTTTCTCTCTCTTCATTTCAACTACACATTCTATCAATAAAATAATATTACACATAAACCCAAAAATTTTTCTTACTTTTTAACTACACATTCTTCCATCAATCACTACACTAAATCAAATTCTTCTCCAAAATGGATGTCAAACAAGTGATAGTTTATTGTTATTTGATGTGTTAGTGGGTTAGTCCATATTTGACATTATCTCTAAATTTAGTTATTCACGTGCCTACTTTATCTCTATGTAGTTGAGATAGTGGGGTAATGGTATCTTTGTTTTATAAGCCCATATATAGACTCCTGTTGAGTTAATAAAGGTGTAGAGCAAAGTTTATTTACACACGTCTCTTTCTCTTTAATTATCGCCCTATTATTTATAATTATTAATAAAAAACTTTGTCCTCTTCCTAACAATATATTCAAAGTTCATGTTATAATAGCAAATATTTTGCTTTTGGGGGCAATCTTTAACTCTTTCAAAACTTTGCACAACTCACTTTTTCTCTCTTTTAACTAACTATGCCCATGTTTGGACTCCATTTTTATAAAAACTCATTTTTTCAATACTCAATTTAAAACACGCATTCTTCTATAAAATAATTTTACACGTAAATCGAAGTTTTTTTAATTATTTTTTAACCACACATTCTCTAACTTTTTATTATTTCAAAATACATTTTTTTGGAAAAATGGAGCCGAAACAAGGACTATATATATACACTTTTCACTTATCCGTACAAATAGAATAAAAAATAAAGTATGGGTAAGGACTAAGAAACTTAAAATTTAAATGGAATAACTCCATAAAGAGACGTCAGCATATACTTCCACGTCATCAGTATACATGCAGTAAGGTGGAAGTAGCATCAACCCTTCAGCCATATTGTCAATCAACCCTGGCATTCCAAAAAGAGCTTCCTCATCGGTAAAGAAAGCATTTCTCGGCCATATAGAGGCGGCTTCCTCCATTATATCATCTCGAGACACCGCCTCCGAAGACTCGGAATTCGGTTGCCCAAAGGCCATGGCTGCTTCTGATGCCGCTTTCTGAATTTCCTTAGCATCAGTGGAGGCCGGAACTGGTAACTTCCAAGCGGAGTCAGCAAAGTTCTACCAGGCCGACCTCCCACGAAGCGCTATTGCCTATGGCTGCTTCTGCTGCCGCTTTCTGAATGTCCTTAGCATCAGTGGAGGCCGGAACTGGTAACTTCCAAGCGGAGTCAGCAAAGTTCAAACAGGCCGACCTCCCACGAAGCGCTATTGCCGCCACATCGTGAGCTCTTGCAGCCATTTCCGCGGTGGCGAAAGTTCCCAGCCAAATTCTTGACTTCTTGTTCGGTTCTCTCACTTCACACACCCACTTACCGGAGTTCCTCTGCCTCACTCCCCGGTAAACTGGGTGTCTCATCCCCTTAAATTTCTTCCTCCCCGAACGCTTCTTCGGGTTGTTTGAAGCTAACAAAACTTCCTCATCAGAAACATTGGATCTGCTACTGCTATTTCCATTATCAGATTCCAGTACCTCAGTAGATGACCATGAATCTTGCACACAAGGAATTGAATATGAATAAAAGTTTGCAAAAACATCCATTCTTGTTCTGAATTTATTTAAGTACTCAAAATGGATTGGAGTTAAGTAGATAATTATATGTGTGAGTGTGTGTATATATATGTTTGTGGATGTTGGGGAGACAATTCTATTACGCGGTCAGTCAGCGATATTTTCACACGGAAAGAACCAGCTGGAGCTATTTGTATTGATAGTCCAATCAAATCAAAAAGTTTCTTTTGTGGCCCTAAATAATCATTTGACTAAGGTCCACTTGGATACATAGTTATCAGCTAACCTATTAAATGGAATTTATGTGTCACTTTAGTAACACGAGGTAAAATTTAGTGACCAATGATATAAAATCCCTCTATCAGTCTATTTACTTGTATACTATGTTGAATTGTACATTACAAACATAGAAAATATCCAGCTTGATTGTGTTTAAAAGCAAATATCAAGTTATTTAGTTACTCTATATTAAATAAAAAATGATTAAAGGGGTGTTTTAAGCACAATTAAATAAGCGGCAATAAATGTTAAATTTTACTGGCGTGTTTATATAGTGTTATAATTTTTCAACTATCTAAGACTGTACCTATAATAATATTATTTAGCACTATTGGTGTTGTAACATTAATTTAGGAAGTTGGGAACTGCTTTCCAATTTTTTCTTTCCACACAATTACTCATTGACATGTCATGTTAAATTAAAACGTTATCAATTTGGTAGATTAGCAATGAACTTTTATTCATGATTGATGTATACCAGAGATGTCCGTAGGTCGGTTCGGTTCGGTTCTGAAAAGACACGAACTGACCCAAAACTTTCGGGTATTTAATAAATGGAACCGTCGGGTCCAAATATAATTGTGGAACCGTTCGGGTTCGATTCCGTTTGGTTCTATACCATAATTAAATTTTTTAATATTTACAGCAACACTAGATAAATACAACTAATAACATTTCATTCATGACTTTTACAAATTAATGTAACCCAATTCAAAAACATATAGGGGGTGTTTGACACCCATTTTAATAGAAAAATGTGTTTTTGAATCGTGATTGATGGAAGAATGTGTGGTTAAAAAGTAAGAAATTTTTTAGGTTTATGTATAATATTATTTTATTGATAGAATGTGTGGTTCAAATGAAAAAAGAGACAGAGAATCAGAATGAGAAAAAAATGGGTGCCAAACGGGAGCATAAATAACTAGACGTCCAATAAGATTAATTCAATGCATACAAATACCAAAAAGTAGATATTAATATTACAGTAACACTACATAAAGTATATTCATTTGCTTCAAATTAAAATGGGCTAATGGGTTTTAAAAGTGATTTGGACTTTAAAATTAAAATTATGAAATAATCTGATTTATTTAATTAATTTGCTAATTTATTTTTAAAAAATAAAATAATTTAATTAATTCACTATAAAAAATAAAAAAATTATTTAGTTTCGATTCTTCGGTTCTTGGTCTAGACCCGATCCAAACTTATCGGTTCTCGATTTGGGTACCCGTTCGGGTATTTAATTTTACTTTATGAAGAACCGCTAGGTTCGGTTCGGTTAGGGTTCGGTTCAATCCGATTTGGTTCGGGACTTTTAGACACCCCTAATGTGAACATTCTAGAAGATAATATGGTATTGAAAATTGCTTTGATGATAATAATGCATTAAATTTATTATCAAATTAAATTAAATAATCTCATGTATGTTTAAGCATAGGTAATATCTATTATTAAATAAAATAAAGTAATCATAATTTGTGTTGACCTATAGTTGACTTTATGTTTTGATTAAAACAAACATATATATATATTTTTTTTTTATAATCTCTAACTATTGAATTCAAATCTTCATAACTATTGTTGTAACGAATCATTAAAAGCTTAAAGAATGAAGTTTTATGCACAAGAAAATTATTTTATAAAAAAGCTTGTATAAAAATCATTTTTCAAAAGGTAAGAATTTCAACTTCATATTCAAACATTTTACAATGTCACTTACCTTGAAAAGTTAATCTTTAAAAAATTTAAAACAATTAAGAAAGAAAAATCTTGAAAAATGAATATATCCTTCAAAAGCTTACATTCTTCAAAACAATTGAGAAAGAAAAATCCTGAGAATTTCTGTCCGAGAGGAGGCTGGTGCGCCCAAGCGTTAATTTTTTAACCGTTCTGAATTCTAATGCACAACGCCTAGTTTAGTTGTTCGGTTCAGTAAACGGACGTCTGGATGGGTAGTCCAGTTAGTTAGAACTTTTGACTTTTTGACTGTTATAAATACAATTTCACTTTGCATTCAATAAAACACTTTTTGTGAGCATTAAAGATATATCATTGAGCTAAATTATATTGATTACACATCTTATTTATCTTTATCGAATCATTTTTACTTTAAAAAACTTTTCATTGAATTAATTTTTGAAAATCATTATTCTCATCAAAGTTTTTCTCATCTAACATTTGAGTTTCGTTCATTACTACTCATTGAAGTGTTAGCCTATTTCTCTCTTTATACTTATTAGATCATATTATTTATTAAGAAAGAAAAATTTTAAATTGTAAAATCAACTTCCTTTAAATTTGTGGGTCATATTGAGGTTTTTTAAAACTCAATGCTGTATAAAGAACGGTGTTCTTTATTTATAAGTAACCAAAAGTATTGTAAAGGTTTGGATTGCACCATAACTCTCAAATATAGTGAAAATGTATTGCTCATAACAAAGACTTTGATACGGAGGACGTAGATCATTGTTTGGATCGAACTTCCACAATTACATCGTTTGTGCACTTTCTTCCCTTTTACTTATTATTTTCGTATTTATGCATTTTTGCTTGATCGACTTATTCATTTTTTTTTTAATTTGCTTAAACTTTAATTAATTTTTCTAAAAAGTTTGAATAATCAATTCACCTCCCTCTTAGTTGGTTATTTTTTGACTACCAATTTGTTTTCTAGAGTTTTAAACGAAATTACTCGTCAAAATATAACATAGATAATAAAGTACATTAATATAAATTTAAGTGCATAAATTTGAATTATAAATTACGGGTTTGAATTTTAAAATATAAGGTTGGTATTTAAAATTAACCATAATGTGAAGATCAATGTTGAAATTTAAAAAAAAATCATTAAAGCATAAAAATGCTTCTCTTATTTTTGTTGAAAGGCTTCTTAGAACATTAGAATGATTTCTTTTAAAAGCTCTTTTGATCAGACACGCTTATTTACCAAATATTCGTTATAAGAAGAATAAACTCCTTAAATAGAG